TTTTTTTTTTTTTTTAATTTACAGACACTGTTCACATTTTACTACCGTCGGGCTTCCGTCAAACGGTCGCCAGAGACTCGTCGGAATGTTTAAAACATGTTATGAAACTGTAAAATTTTACAGTTTTAAACCATGATTCATTCTAGCACCAAAAAAAATTTTTGAAACTGCAAAATTTTACAATTTTCACCACCTGTAACTAAAACTCGAAAACTACTTGTTCAGAATTCGAAAATTTTCTCCATTAGAATAGAAAAGCAGAAGTGTATAGCAAAGAAAAAAAAAGAGATCGAAGGAGAAAGGCAGATGTAGAGAGAGGATTGTACTCCGACAACTATTTTTTGTTTAGATCTAGCCAAATCTGATGTAGATCTACTCAGATCTGATGTAGATCTGAGTAGATCTACATCAGATCTAAGTAGATCCACTCATCTTCTTCGTCGGAAATATATATCTTTGCCGTCGGTGAGAGTGAAATCACGAGTTGATTTCGATGGTTGGCGGTTATCAGTGAACCCCGATCAATGGAGAAAGACATGAACACTTGCACCATCGTCTATGACGAAGACGATGAGAGAAAAATGTAGAAAAAAAGAAAAAGAAGAAAACGTAAAAAGGGAGGAAAAAATCAGAGAGATGGAGGAAAGAACTTTTGGGTGTATCCAAAAAATTATGAGATTAAATGGTGTCCACATATTCCACATGGGACCTTGGGTAAATTTTCCTAATTTTAAAATACAACCATTCGGTAACTGGATTGGGCCAACAAATATTGACGAAGGAAAAGAGATCTTTATAATTGTCATAAATTTTAAATGAGGCGAGTGTTACTTACCCTTTATTATTATATTTTAATGAAGTCCTCCATCTCCCACAAGTCCTTGTGAAACATGAAAGGACTTTTGTTTTCGTCGAAGATTCTCGGAGCAGAGAGGGTGTTGTGAGGCCACAGGACTTTTGGATTACATTGTTCAGGGAAAAAAATTAAATAATATTTATTTCAAAAAAATATATTACATGTATTTTGTAGATTAAAAATACTAGAGATCTCAAAAGTTTTTTCAAAATTTTTACTATATCTGGGTGTGGGAGTCAGATGGTATGGATCACATACCCATGTAAGATATTTGATAAAAATTTTAATAAAACTTTTGAAATCTCTAGCATCTTTTGTAGATCGTCCATCATTTTGAAGGGAAAAAAATATATGATGCAGTTAAAGTTTTGGGAAATGTTATGGTGTGAAATGCACACCGTAACACAAAATTACGTAAGTTTTTATAAATTTACATAAATTATCTTATCAAAATGCGTAAATTGAATATAAATTTACATAAATTCACGAAGTCCTACGTATTTATGCTGTTCAAATTTGTTTGGGCAGAGATAGTCTCAGGATTAGACTAATAATTTAACAAGATGTATAATTCAATATATAGATAAATAAATTAAAGTCCAGACTAGTAGTCTATCAAGAATATAACATCCCCATATAAGAATATTGAATCTCCAGAGAGGAGTAAGATGCAAAATGAAAGAAAAAGAGTATGTTCGGCTGAATTAATTAAATCACAAAATTGATAAGATTTTCTGAACTCATTCTTATAATTTTGACACAACCCAAATATGGGATCAAATACACAATTGCTTGGCGATGAATGTTTCTAACTTCACCACCGATCAGTCTGCTCTTTTGGCCTTCAAAGCCCATATCACTTTCGATCATTCTCATCACATATTGGCAAATAACTGGTCCTCAGCCACCTCAATTTGTGACTGGATTGGTGTCTCTTGCGGCAAACCCCACCGCAGAGTGGTGGCCTTGAATCTCCCTGACATGGGTATTGGAGGCACCATCCCATCCCACATTGGGAACCTCTCATTTCTATCCTACTTCAGCATTTCCAACAACACTTTCCATGGTCATCTTCCCAGTGAGATGGCTCGATTGCATCGCCTAGAAGTTGTCGACTTCAAATTCAACAACTTCAATGGAAGTGTTCCGGCATGGTTTGGAAAATTACCCAAGCTTCAGTACTTGGTTCTCGCAAACAACAGTTTCACGGGTTGGGTTCCACCTTCCATTGGCAACATATCAGCATTAGAGTCTCTCAATTTAATGCACAATTTTCTGGAGGGAAGAGTTCCTGAAAAGATAGGTGATCTTCCTAAACTGAAGCAGCTACGCATGGGATTTAACTATTTTTCGGGGTCTATACCGTCAACCATCTTCAACATCTCATCACTTCAATTGATTGAATTCTCATCTACTATGATGTCTGGTAGTCTTCCGGATGATATGTGTATTTCAATTCCCAAACTTGAATTTATCCATCTTTCTTGGAATGAGTTTGATGGCCAAATTCCATCAACTCTGGGTGAATGCAGAGAGCTCCAAATCATATCATTGTCCGTTAATAAATTCAGTGGGATCATACCCAGAGGAATCGGAAATTTGACCATTCTCCAGACGTTGTATCTTGGTGATAATAACATCACAGGTATGCAAATCCACCTAGTTAATTTTAAAATTAAAGCAAAATTGTACTAAATTTAAAGCAAAGTGGATTGGACCGCGCTTGTCCACCACGGGTCTTATTTCGATATTTGAATTGTTCATTTTTGTAGATCACAGTGTATAAATTATTTATGTAAAAAATCAACTCAATCCGATAACTGTAAGTTATGACATTTATTTTTAAGTAAAATAGACGATAAATAGTATCTAAAAATTAGATCATTTATTTTTTGGAAAACAAATGTAATAAATTAATGTGCGTACGATTATTGAATCATTTTGATTTTTTATATAGATGATTTACACTTTGTACTTTATAAAATAAATAGTTCGAATTATCGAAGTGAAATCCGTGGTTGACCCTACAGACCCAAATAGCAAGGTCCACTCCACTTGTAGACATAATCTTTTTCTTACTTTAAGGGTTAATATATTGTGTGGAAAGCCCCTAGAAAACCCAACCACACTAAGATAATTGATGGCTTCAAATATAGACTAGAAGGACCATACAAATTATGCAAATTCACGAGAAAGAAACGATCACAAGATACCAAGATTTATGTGGTTTAGCCTATGCCTATATCCACGGGCAAAGATCACCAGCAAAAACAATAATTGCTCCTAAGAGCTACAATGATGATAAAGCAACCTCCCACATCACTCACTACCCAAATATTTGTGCTCTGAACAAACCCCAAATTCTATCTCTACCTCCAAAAGACAAATTCTCACAAGGAGACATCAAGGGATCTAGTTAAACATAACCATAGACCCAAAATAAGGAGAAACATCCTCCAATACCTCCAAAATGGCCAATGGCCTCTTTTCAAAGAGAGATCTCAACGAACTTCCAATAGCTTAACCAAAGGAATTAAAAATTTTAACTAAATTATGGAGACTCTCCACCTATTTATAGCTAACGAATCATTCTTAAAGCTAATCCAAAACTAAATAGGTTTTCTTACAATTCAATCCAAAACCAACTAGGAAACACTATATCTAAAACTTTAAGTAGGTCTCTCACAAAGCCAAACCGATATGGGAGTCAAAAACAAATCCAAGTTTAACACACTAAGACTATCGACAAATTCTATTCCAATTAGGAAATTGAATACCAAATTCAAATTATATTAGAAATAGACATTGAGCCTGTACGGGAAAGAAATAAACCTTCTCGTATAATCCTGTTGATCAAGTCTGCGCTCCTCCGTACCTCATCGCTTTACTCCCTGAAAACACAAACGTGAGCTAACTGGCGGGTGTGTACCGGAAACCCCTCCGATGCCTAAGTCAGCAACTAGACAATAGACAATAAGCTCTGTGTATTCTAGAGTAAGAATTGGGATACCTGTACAAAGGTCTGGTCATGAGCTTTTATAGACTTTACTTTGGCACAATCCTAGTAGAATTCCAACTCTCCTTATGAGAGTCCTCCTAGGAATCACACACCCTACTCACTACCAACCAAGTGAGATGGTTTTGCACAATCCTAGTAGAACTATACTCTCCTTAGCAGAGTCCTTTTAGGAGTCATACTCCTACTCACTACCAACCAAGTGAGATGGTTTACACAATCCCAGTAGCACTCTAACTCTCCTTAGCAGAGTCCTACTAGGAGTCTCATCACTGCAAGCCAAGTGAGATGGCTGAACCTTTTACCTCGGTTATACATTCCTGCCCGAACTGATTTATCTCGGTCCCCTGCCCTTCAGACCGTGTGATCGAAAGCCGATCTAACGGATGCCACCCTGCCGAGCTATACATAGCTCGGCCCTCGCTATTGCTGCTACCTCCTTTTAATAAGCTGCTGCAGCCACACCGAGCTAAGTTACCTCGGTCATACGCTTAAGTAATGATGTAGATGGCGCCCGGCTGAGTCATACCAAGACAGGCCGAGCTATACCAAGCCTGACATCCTTTCTCATCAATACCTCGGCTAACCACCAGGCCCACTTATTTCGGCTGACATCTTTACCTCGGCTAACATTGCGGTCAGCCAAGTTACTTCGGCTCTGTGATACTTTAAGCACTACTATCAGTCTTGACTTCGAGATGACGCCCTGTAGGGCTATCGTTTAGCTCGGTCCTCTTTCTACCGATACCTCGGTCCATAGTTCGGCCCAAACCCAAAATATGAGATGTCTTCTTGGCCTAAGACCGAGCTACACCAGCCCTTATCTCCCCTAATCTAATCATCATAAGTTGATAAATAAAAGGGAGAAAGACGTGGGGTTGGAAGATATACATCACACACACGCACACTTATTACAACATTGCCCCCCTCCAGAGGGTCCGAATAAATAATAAA